GAGAATGTCAAGGCAAAGATCCAGGACAAGGAAGGCATCCCTCCTGACCAGCAGAGGTTGATCTTTGCTGGGAAACAGCTGGAAGATGGACGCACCCTGTCTGACTACAACATCCAGAAAGAGTCCACTCTGCACTTGGTCCTGCGCTTGAGGGGGGGTGTCTAAGTTTCCCCTTTTAAGGTTTCGACAAATTTCATTGCACTTTTCTTTCAATAAAGTTGTTGCATTCCCAACTGGTGTGGTTTTTTAAAAGTTAAGGTTAATTTTGCATTAGACTGGGTGAAGGGGATCAAGGTTTTCAGTCTACAAATGTTGCTGTGGTAACAGTGAAATGTCAGTGAAGGGGGTTGACCTTAATATAGTATGAACTGTAGAAGGTGGGTGCAAATAAAAGCCGGCTTCAAGACCAGATTGGCCAATGTGGTGAAACCCTATGTCTACTGAAAATACAAAAAGGCAGGTGTGGTGAGTGCCTGTGATTCCAGGTACATGGGAGGGTGAAGCAGGAGAATCCCTTGAACCAATGAAGCGGAGGTTGCTGTGATCTGAGTGCCACTGTACTCCCGCTGGGGGAACAGCAAGACAAAGTTGTTGGGAGATGGAAGTATTTTACATATGTAGATTTAACTCTAAGTTAACTTTAAAAATACTGGTTTGTGGGTGATGTGTGAGGTAAGAGAATGGGAGAATTACCGGAACACCAGGAAGAAGGAAGGAATTTTAAAAGGTGGGAGTGGTGGGAGGGTAACTATGAAAGGATGCTTCAAGTACATAGGTCTGTATAAATGCACATTGAGCTGCGTAGACAGTCATGGGATCAAATTTTAAGAGGATGTGGTAGGTAAAGCATTAAAAGGCATGGCCACCAAGGTGTAGAAAAGGAATTAGTGGTTAGAGAATGAGCTATTCCTTGAAACAATTCTTGCTGATAAAATGTCAGATTTTATGTGACTACAGATGGAGGACTGGCACATAACCAGTGGGGGAAACAATTGACCTTTGGATTTGTCCCAAGTGTATGGTAGCATTTGCCCAATCGAATGGTCCTGGTAAGGTGTTGACTAGAACCAAAGGTGGAAGTTGCAGGGAAACTGGTTTAATACAAGGGGTGGACACCAGGCAGTCATCCAGAGGCCCTTTAAAGGTTTTGGAAGGTTTTTCCCCAAGGGGAATCACTCCTTCCCTTCTCCCCTAAAGTTTTAGGGGATTCATGAACAACCTCTGCTGTGGAAAAATCTTACGTTGTTCGCAGCAATTATAAAGCAGCTAAGGGTGGCTTAAACCAGTTTTAGCTTTAGGGTTAGGGTTACTGGACTAAAATTTGAGGAATCTGTAAATCTTAAGGAAGTCCTTTGTGAGTTTTCATTATGAGTGCATCTAATGTATAATAATTTCCATGACCCTCCCATGCAAGTGAGTACGTGAATCAGGAAACATTACAAGAACCCAACAAACTCAACCACTACTAGGCAGGCGATCACTTCCAGTTAGTATGCAAATTTCTGTGTAATTTTAGTGCCCATTAAAATCTGTGTGACCTTAGTATAAGGAAAAAATACCTTGAATAGTCTTAAAGATGTACACTTGGTGTCAGGCATTGCAACGTTGATAAATCAGTGTCAAGTGCTTTTTGAAAACTTCAAAGCTGCATCAAGTCAAGTGCAAGAAAGGCCGTGGCTGCTAAAGCTGTTGAAGATGTGGGATGTGGAAACTGGGTCATATTGGTGTTACAGCATTGTGCAGAGCTGGCAGGATCTTGACATGAGCGAACATTAGTCTGTTTTAAGCTGTGTGAGTGTTGTAGAGGTGAGGATGCTCACTTGAAAACTCACTGAAGAACACTTGGCCCCTTGAACTAAAGTGCTTCTATCAAGTTCAATGAGAAATTCTGAATTACAAGCATAGGTACTAGAAAAGTTTTGAAAAGCAGTATAGAGCAACATAAGCACATTCATAAAATTAGTGATGTAGAAAGTGAAATTTCCATGTATTGTCACTCCCAGAGGGAAAAAAAAAACATTTATTTACCCTTTTTAAAAATAGGGGATTTCAGGCCGAGTGTGGTGGCTCACGCCTGTAAGCCACTTTGCGAGGTCGAGGCAGGCGGATCACCTGAGGTCAGGAGTTCGAGACCATCCTGGCCAACAAGGCAAGACCCCATCTCTACTAAATATACAAAATATACAAAAAATAGCTGAGTGTGTTGCCAGGTGCCTGTAATCCCAGCTACTCGGGAGGCTGAGGCAGGAGAATTGCTTGAACCCACGGTATGGAGGTTGCAGTGAGCCGAGATTGTGTCACTGCATTCCAACCTGGGCGACAGAGCCAGACTCAGTCTCAAAAAAAAAAAAAAAAAAAAAA